CTGCTGAACACGTTGTGAATATACTGCTCTTCTTTAAAAAGGTGGTGGTTGTTGTTTTTTTCCATCTACAGTATTGACTAACTGTCGGTGTTTGATGTATGGGTTACTAGGCTGATGTAGACTTATGGTTAAGAGTTTAAGTTGTTAGTTCTGCTTTTGCAGCCAATTCAGAATAACTACAGATGCCTCAAGATATTAAAATTGACTGCTCAAATGGACTCAGTGTGGGAGTTTCATTGGTTTTAAATTGATAACAGCTGAAAGGGAATGATTAAAGCTGTATAAGGGCATAGAATGCCGCTCAGTTTTTCCCTTCTCCCTTTTCACAACTTCTCGCAAACAACTCTTTCTATGGGAATTTTCTTCCCAATGGTAATAATAAAAGTATTTCATTCCTTTAAATTTCCAAATGATAAATAAGGCCATTTCTAAAGGAGCAATTCCTGAGAACCTAGGAAAAAACTAGGGGAAGACAAAAGAATTTTCTATTCTAAAGGGAACATTTTAAGTTAAATAGCATTCCATAAGGTGGACATTGTGTCTATTTCCCAGACATTGGAGCTAAATAAGTTGGATGGGAGACATAAACTGTCATAACAGGAGATTAGGAGTGTTATGTACATCTTTGCTTATCTTCACTACTCCCTGCCCCATTATTAAAAAAGGGGAGGAGGAAGAAAGCATAAGTTTTAAAGAACATTTTCAGAAACAAATTGCACAAAGACCTTTTGCTTTCTTTATTCCCTTGAGAGCAATTATTGTTTTATTGGAAACAAATATTCTGTATGTTTCTTTATCCCAACAAGTCTTAAACTACTTAGATATGGCAAAGGAGAATTTTTAAAAAACAGCAACAACAACAGAGATACTTCCAATACATACATCCAGACATGCATGATATACATTCTTTTAATCAAGATTTCAAGAGTCTTTAATATGCTGGATTCTGGAAGCTGGATCCAGCCCCAAAGGTAAAAGTGTTGCTTCACACAGATTAAGTAATTATTACTCAGCTAACTCAATTTTGGCTTTGCCTAAACCAAAATTATATTTTGTGTTCCTCAAAGTTGCAACAGAAAAAACAATGAATGCACACATTTGGATTGCCATTGAACAATGACACCATAATGGGAAAGAATTCAATCCATGAGTGTAGACTTAGAGTGAAATATGCATTACTCCAAGTCTGAGGAAATTATAATTATAATTCTGTTTTAGATATTGCAATTAGTATTGGACTGAATTATCAGCCCTCTCTTTTGTGGAAAGGAGAAACCAAGTGAAAATCCATTACCATTAAACTAATCAGGGAGATTTCTCTGCTACTGGAAACATCTGAGGGGGAAAACACTGGAAAAAGAAAACGTGAAGCTCTGCAGCTCCCATTTTGTAAATCAATCTCTGCACACCCAATAACAATTAGTAAAAATTGTAAGTCTCTGAAAATGGTTCCTCTTTTAAGGCTGGCCCAGCCAACGTAGGGTGGGCATTTCCAGCTCAGCTCAATTATATTTTCTGAGAATCTGTTCTTTATATAGACATGGCTGACCCACAGAATGGAAAATTTTCACCTATGTTCATCAAGGATGATATCACAAGTACTTGATGGCAAGTGTGCGTGATGAAAAAGTTGTGCAAACAAACAATGACTTCCAGTTACTTTTGAGCATCTGGAGCCTGGAAAAAATGCTTTGTGTTTAGTAGAAATATCTGAACAAAAACTGGTGGGATCTTCAGACAAATTTTTCAACTTTATCCACAGCTGGAAGCACCAATAAATTTTGTGATCATTTTTCAGTTCTTTGTTCAAAAGTTTTAAATAGTTTTTTTTCCAGCAACCAGGTACTTAAACAATGTATGTCTATGTGTGCACAGCTAAATGACTGCATCGGGCTGTCCTCTTTGTGTTATCATGTAAGAAAAATAAAAAATATATATTTGTTTATTCAGGAAAATTTTTGGTTTTGGGCAGTAAAGATAATTGATCTCAACAGATGTCATAATGAGATTGAATCTTAAGATGATTGCTCTGTATTCTTTGAACTAATCTATACAATTTCTTTACAAATAATACTGGCAAAATTTCACAAAATACAAAATATGAAAAAGAATTAAATGTGGGCTCTTAGAAAAAAAATGAGGTTTTTACTTGAACGCCCTAGGAGAGGCAGAAATCTAAAGATATCATAGTCTTTAATATTCTGCAGGTTACTATTTATGCATGCTCTCCTAGGATTATTTTAGGCTTTGCTAAGAAACATTGATTATAGAGTGCTGTCAAAGGCCTCTACACTAATTTTCCAAGTGTCATGCTCTGCTGGAAAGGTATGCAGAGACTATCTCTTGGCTTAAATGATGATCTTATAGCCACATTGTTTAAACATTTTAAACCGCTTCTATTGAATGGTTTTTCTCATAGGTTTGATTCATTTTGATTCTGCTGACAAAGTTCCCATTAAGGAGCACTCTCTTCATAATTTGTCAAAAAATATATAGCAGAGATGAAGGAGGATGAAGCTAATTTGTAATCTCAGAGCACTAACCTAGTTATCCTGACATACTTCATGATGTACACCCTCAGCCAGCCAGAGGATTAAAGTTATGAAGCACACACACACACACACACACACACACACACACACAGAACATTTTGTAAGCTGCACAATTTACAAGCATTGTCAAGGGTCAGGGCGACTTATTCTTAGTAAAATAATAATTAAACATTTGGCAAGGGAAAAATGTCAACTTTGTACAAAAGGTTGGAGGAAATGCTGTAATGAAACTTATCTCTTTGTTATTGGCTGTCTGTAAATGATATAATAGAGAGGCATAACATAATATAATACTGTTATTAAATTATTTACCTGAAAGGACTTTGGTACCATTGCAATTACTGTACAATAACAATACTACCTTATGTCTTAAAATTTTCTGGATCTTTTCTTTCTATCCATGGTTTATAATCCAGCCAGTTCTCTACTGCTGCTGTGTAGAGTATATGTACACAGTATGTCTTGATATGATAAATAATGCAATACAAAGTGTTATTTTTTTAAAAAAAAACAGTGGATCATTTTATTTATTTATATCCTACCTTTATTATTTTTATAAATATCTCAAGCATATGTACCAGTAATACTCCTCCTCCTATTTTCCCCACAACAACTCTGTGAGGTGGGTTGCGCTGAGAGAGAGAGAGAGTGACTGGCCCAGCGTCACCCACTTGGCTTTCGTGCCTCAGGTGGGACTAGAACTCACTGTCTCCTGGTTTATAGCCTGGTGTCTAAGCCACTAGACCAAACTGGCTTGTCCTGTCAGAGGAGTAGATATTGGCATGCCTTCCACTCTACCTTCATACAGTAGATTATATTATTTAATGTCACTGTGCGCTCTGTGAAAAAGATTCAGAAGAACAGTTTCAGACCTCCAGCAAACTTCTCTGTTGTTAATTAAACAAGCCTGCTATTTTTCAGGCTTCTGAACAAGCTAGAAAAAGGATATTATTCTTTTAAGCAATCAAATTATTGAGACTTTCGAAACAATCACATCTTGTTATCAGCCTTGTGTTAAAATCTGAAAAAGGCCGGTTGCTGTAGTGAATATATGAAGCTGTTTGTGCTTATTCTTCAAGTTTATTCTTGTGTGAAGTCCAAACCCTATCCTATTAAATATTTTAAGTGTACATAGCCCAGTTGGTTTTATTTTAAAATACAAGCAGTGTCCTTCAAAACTTAGTTTTCAAGTACAATTTACAAGCATTTAAAAACACAATTTGAATTTGAAATGCAGCTGCAAATACAAGTATAAACAATCTATTAGACTGATGATAGAACCAAATAGGGTTTTTCACTTAAGATAAGATAACCTTTATTGTCATTTTTATACTGTGGGCACAATGGCACACATCAAAAATGAAATTTAGTTGCCCGCTCTCAAAGTGAAACACATACATGACGCACACCTAAACATACTATGAACAACATATGTATAGATCCACATCCCTACATATATGTAGCAATAAATATTAAACATTGTCCATCTTGAATATATAACGGAAGGAGGAAGCTTGAGAGTTCGCAAGGTTAATGCTGTATGGAATTATAGGACAGTTAACATTTTCTAAACTCAGATTCCCCATCAAACAGCTGTTTTCACCCAAGGCTGATATTCTCTGGATTATATTACAATGCTCTATACATTTACTTATTGTGATGTCAGTGCAACCTTCCAGGTTGGCTTTTCTAAACAAACCATTGGCTATCTAAGATCACAAGGGAACAGCAGCTTTAGGCAGCAAGTTATGATCTCTGGACATGCAACTGTGACCCTCAGCTATTCTTAAAAATATTTTCTGGAAGATAGATCTGGGCTATGGCTTACCTATTGACATTCAATAGGAATAGCATTCAATTACCCAACCTATTTTACTTCTGCATGTTGAAGGAGAGTGGAGGACATTGCATTTTCACCTTACATAACAACCTGACATGCAGATGATTATAGATGGGGCTTGCTTGCACAGAAAAGGATATCTCTGCTTATGTGTTCTGTAATGCAACTGACAGTTTCTAATATCCACACCATTCAGAACTAGCTGTGGATATCCTTAACTCAGTGTGCCAAATAAAATAAATCAGAAGTCATAACTCATGGCCTCAGTCCCAAGGAAAGAAATGGGTTGCAAATTGGTCATACATCAAATTTATCTCATTGTTTTTCAGTGATACAGTCACACAATTTGAGTAGGGATCATTGTTATGTATGCCGTATGTCTAGTAAAAACTAAACACACATAATGTTCACAAACATAAGGCAAAACTTGGAGTGGAATTCTCTAAGTTGCTTTGATATTATGTTTGACAAATAAAGTTTGCTTGCAAAACTAGGTAAGTGGACAACAAAACTTTATAATGTACTATTCACTTTGTTTCACATTTCAGGGGGCTTATTTAAAGTGTGGTTTCTGTTTAATCAACCATTCTCTGTTTTGTGTTTTCTAGATCAGATTTTTGGTGCTTACCTACACAATGTGTGTGAACATGATGGCTCTACTGTCCCTTACTTCGTTAAAATGTGTATAAAAGCTGTTGAGGAACGAGGTACGTATTTTATGATCTATATACATTCCTAAATGTGGCTGTATATTTATAAGTGAGATTTTAAATTCTGTCTTTCATTTACCAACTGATGGATAGCTGGGTGTTAAAACTACAATGGTATCAACCTTCCCCACTTTTCTTAAGCTTCCTAATATTCTTTGAAATAAGTATATGCCATCCCCTCCTTTTTTTTCTGGAGAGTCACTGATATTATTCAAAATAAATAGCAGCAGTGGTCTCTTTCCCTTACAATTATTTGTTGAAATTTTGTACTTGATTACTGTCACTGTTTAAAGCCCATAATGTTTACCGTCTTTAAAAATATGTCCTTGTAATGTGTACATTCCATTTTCTGCTTCCAAGTAATTTTCAACTAAAATGAAGTTAGCAATCAAGTAAAAGATATTTCTAATACACAAAACCAACTTTCATGAAGTTCATGACAAAAGAGATCTATTTTTATACAGCAGTTGTGTTGTATTGCATTGTGCCAAAAAGGTATCCATCAACACCCTTCCTTCTAAGCTTCCAATACCCCTTTGCAATCTATTCTGGAGGGATCGTAAATCCTTCAAAGCAGCAAAGGGGAGTAAAAGGGAAGTGCTAGCATAAGAGGACAGGGGATAAGGGGAAAGCGTAATACATCCATTGAAATATGCTCATGTAATATTATATGTATGCAGGGTTAATGGTGTATAATTCTTGGAACTTCCATTTTATTCATATAAGTGAATTAGGAAAATTATATTCCCAGGATATCAAATAGCTATGAAATATGGAAATATTAGAGCCAGAAATATGCAGTGAAGATTTTGGAATGTGGGAGTCTCTTTTAGGATTGCTAGCTTTTGAAGTGACCACTGCAGCTGTCTCTTTATAAGCTTTTTGATTTACACCAATTAGTGATAACATTTAGCAACATTACATTAGCAACTTCACCTACTGATTGTACAGGTCAACCCTCTGGAAAAGTAACAAGACCCCAGTTTGTTTTACTTTACAGTTTTATAGTTAACTAACCAAGCCTGTAAAAAAAAAAAGAAAATATAAATATAAATGATCTAAAATGTAGATGAATATTCTGGATAATAAAGATATTACAAGTTTGATCGCTTGTGTTGATACAATTTAAAAAAAGCCACTCCTGCTGAAATTGGAGCTTTTACCATTCTAATATTAAATTTCCACTGGCTATTCTTGCTCATTGCAAGAGAATTAAACAAGCTTTAGTGAAAGAACACAGTGATGCACTGCTTATATTCATAAAGTGCTCACTGGCTGCTGGAATAGTTCCTCAGTCCTAGGTACCTCCTATAAGGTAGCATTAAACAACTCAGATCCCAAGTATTATAGAATAACTGGTTTGTGGATCAAATTAATTCATTGAAAAATGCAATCCCATTTGAAAAATGTTCAATAGTAAATGCCTTTGTTAATACAATGTTCTTATTTATTTTATTGATTGATTGATAATAGAGATGTTAAAGAAAATAAATAGATATTTTAAGATAATAAAGATATTATCTTTATCTATTAATATTACAATATGTTTTTTGCCATAGACATTACAAATACCAGGAAAGGGTTTTTTTCTGTTCCTGAAAGATTCATCTGGCATTTTACCTTGGCTTTTTCCAGGCTATTGGAAACTTTTAATTTTAAAATGTTCTCTAACTCTGCTGTTTTGAAACTTTTAAGGCATTAAGAAATATAGTGCAGTTTTAACATTGTTGTTTTTTGCTGATATTTATAACAGACAGAAACTTTATTTCGGTCATTTACCAATAAAAGTACAATTAATAAAATGTACCACACAAAACTATTCCTTAACAAGAACTGTTACCAACCATTTATGGGTAAAGTTTACACATAATTTAGCAAAATGTTGTTACTTTTAGAGAAATACATTTATCTTTGTTATTCATAGATACTGCAAATAAACATCAGAGTGCCTCAAAATTACTCTGTATACCTTGTAACAGGCTATAAACATCTATTATGCTTCCTTGAAAAATACATATATACATACAGTATATACATATACATATATATTTTCAAGGATGCATATTAGATGTTTGTAGTCTGTGAGAAGACATGCAGAATAATTTTAATTCTGTAGAATAATTTCTATATGTATTGTATGAATCCGCTTTGATTTGTATGCTTCCTTCCCTGTACTTACTATAACTTTAAGCTAGCATATGGCATTAGCTAGTAGAGATATAAATAATAACTAATCTCAGTGGCATGTGATAAAATTTGCATTTTATCACTATTTATGACTTTGTCCTTGGTATACAATTTTTTTTTCTTTTCCTGGACTAGGATTATAATTCCTGTGCCTTTACTTCTGTTTACTCAGTGTGTTGTTTTCACTAAATTCTGGCACAAACTATTGCAGGACAGCAGTAATTTATGTGAAGCTAAATCCAATGTTTATGAAAGCTTCTGATGACATTTTAGACAGGGATTGGTATTAGGAAGCCATATGTGGAGGTGCCAAGTCTCCCAGCATGGCTGGGACTCAACAGATTTAAAGCCCTCCTCCTAATGGCCAGATATGCCTCCAGCCAAGTTATTCAACTACAGAGTCATGGGAAATACTTACGTACCAATTATGGGAAAGGCATAGTTAATGAAAACTGTATGTTTACTTACATAGTCTTAGTAAGATGGCCTAAACATTCATTGCAGCTGGCATCTTGGCTGAAACAGAGAGCTGTGTCTCTCTGTCCCATCTTCATACAGTAACCGTATAGTTTGTTTCCCTGAAGTTGAAAGTTTCTTTTCTCTCTCTGAAGAACCTCCATTGCAGAACTAGATTGTACTACTCTGAAGTATTGCTCACTGTGAAAATAAGCACTGGCAGCAGAAAAGCCTCAAGTATAACATTCCATATCTTAAAATCAGTTTAAATTCACCTGAACTCATTTGTGAGTTTCACATTGCACATTTACTGGCAATTTGCAAAAATCTTGTCTCACTTGATTAACATTGCCTGCTAGATGTGGCTATAAGCTACACAAAATCATTTTAAATTAAAAAACTAACAATAACATGTTATTTTCATGTGTCATACAGGAGAAGATATATTTTAAAGTAAATGGGATATGGAAAATAATAATATTGAATAAAGAAAAGGACCATCAGAATGTATCAGCTAGTAATTTCCAACTAAACTGGTCAAAAACAATTTCTTGATGCTAAAGGTTTCATTGAAAATGTTACCTATCCACTATCATTGCATTGCATTATTATTTAATAATTTGCCCTACTAGTAGTTTTAGCTTGTTGCCAGTCCCATGACTTACATCCTTATTCTTTTGATTATGAATAGTGAAGGAAGTTATTTTCATCTAAATGAATGCTCTCCTGTAATTTTTTTTAGAACTTAATGTTCTGCTTTTTTCTTTGTTAGCTGTCAGTTTAACATTAATATGTTAATGTTAACATATTAAGAGCTGTGGTGGCATAGTGGTTAGAATGCAGTATTGCAGTCTAATTCTGCTGGTTGCCAGCTGTTTGAACTTGACTGGCTCAAGGTTGACTCAGCCTTCCATCTGTCTGAGGTCACTAAAATGAGGACCCAGATTGTTGGGGGCAACATGCTGACTCTGCAAACCTCTTAGAGAGGGCTGTATATAAATCTAAGTGCTATTGCTATAATATGTCATTATTAAAGCCCACCTTTATTATTGGTTAGACCAGTGGTTCTCAACCTGTGGGTCGGGACCCCATTTGGGGTCGAACGACCATTTCACGGGGTCGCCAAACAATGCAGTCCGCCATTTTTCCCCCCTTTTCCTTAGCCTTGCTACTCCCTTTTATTCTATTGGCTTTTGAAAGCCAATAGAATAGACTCTCTTGAACAGAGTCTACTTCTATTGGCTTTCAAAAGCCAATAGGAATTGTCCAGGCTGTCTCTGCCCTGCTGAGCCCGCCAAAAGTCCCATTTTGCAAACGGTGCTGCACCAGTTGAGTAGTCCTCGACTTACGACCGGTTGAGTAGTCCTCGAATTACGACCAGTTGGGGGTCGCGGCATTAAAAAGGTTGAGAACCACTGGGTTAGACTATAAATCCTGTGCGAGGAAAAGAGTAATTGTTTTGTGAAACATTTCTGTTCTAGAATTATTTCCACATTTATTTTCTAGCTAATTATCCAAGACTATCGAATTTTGCTTTGTGCCTCACCAACAATTAAAATAATGCATTTTTAAAAAATCTATATAAAATGCATTTGTTTGTAAAAAGGATAGACAAAGATATTAGAGAAACTGGAAATACATATCTGACATGGCAGACTCAGCCATAAGCCATGTTCTCAGCTTCACCCTACCGTCTCTTCTCGTTACGCACACTGAAATAATATGATTCCTCAGAAAGAAGTTTTCTGAATGAGAGAGAACACTATCAAAAGCTCTTGGAGCATACATGTTTGCCATTATTATTTAAAATGAACCTAAGAACAATTTGGTTCATCGTTCAGATCTGTTTTGATTGTTAATTAAGTTGTGACTGTGATCCATACAAAGGCAATAATAAATGCACTAAAGTTAGTTAGCAAGAGGGCGGAGTCTGTGCATTAATGTGAATGCTGAGCCGAGAGGCCACCATTGGAGACAGCAATGCCAACATCTAATTCTTTCCTCTTTCTCTTTCTGCTGTGGAATAATGGAAATAATTCAGTGTCATCCTGCTTTTGAGATGAAAAAGAGGCCAGGGATGCCATATGGTACCCTTTAAACTTAATGAGAAAAGACATGTGTCCATATGGAGAACAAAGGGACAAGTGACAAAATGCATGCCATGACATCACAACACAAATGCTGTTATTTACATACTCATGTCCAAAGTTGGGATTATACGAGGGCAATTCAGAAATAAACCTCCGTTATCAATGACAGACACTCGCAGATACAGAACTTTTATTATACACATTAGAAAACTACAACATTACATTACTTTTCTCCATAACCGCCATTCAAATTGAGGCACTTGT